TCAGAATGCATTGATTATGTTCTACTATATTTCCCAAATTTCAGAATAATGATGAAAAGTCTGTGACGCTTGAATAATTTTATTTTACACAGATGACAAGGAATGGGAAAAAGGGAGGAAAGAGGATTGCAGAAGTAGAAAATCTAGACTTTCCCACCTACTCTTAAATTGCCCACTGTTAACTCACTGCTGGATGGCAACTCTTGGCAGAAAAGTGGTCTTCTCTCCATTCCCGAATCAGAATATTTTCCTGCACTTCAGGATATTTGGGTTGTTCTTCAAAGAGAAAGAGTGGTAGCTGGATTAAGATCTGTCTGTCTGTCTATCCGTCATATGGCACATTCACATCACATTTTGATAAAAACACGGGAGATAGAAATACAAAATATGAAATATAAAATATTATAAATGTATGTCTAGATTACAGGTATAGTTTTTGCTTCAGCCAGGAAATCAGCAAAGTCTCCGCTAGAGGCTTTATTTTGTCAATCTGATACTATATGTTGGATAGTTTGATTTTCCGCCCCACAGTCACAATTCTGTGATGATATTTTATCCCACTTGTAGAGAGCATCTACGCATCTACCATGGCCAGTGCAAAGCCATCTTTCAATAGATTGAGAAATATAAATAAGGATAAAGATAGGACTCTGAAAATTTATGTATTGGACCTTTATCATTTTCTTCCATGGTTATTTTCTAGATTGAATTATTTTCAAAATCAAAACCAAAGACTCGGCTTCCCAAATATCCATGTTTTTCCATTCCAGAAGGCCACAGTACACTCTTAATATAAGAGCCCTAATTTTTTTCCCCACCCAAACATCATTAGTTCTTTTCCAGTGTAAGAAACTCTGAGCTTTAATAAATTTACTCAGCAGAATTATATAATAAAATCTTTCCTGGATTATGCCACATTGGCTGAGGGAGGTAATCACATTTTGGAATCCTCCAAAACATAAGGCTGTGTAGCATTTCTGATTTAATTCCCAGAGGTCCTTCAACTTAATACATATCTGCAACTCTTTAAAGCAGTGATGCCTTCTTGTGGGACTGCATACCTAATATTTACTTTCAGTTCCACAGATATGCAATGAATTTCTGATAATACAAAAGAGTATTAACCTTATAGTTAACTCATTGTCATAGTTTGTGGACTCCAGATCAGACAAACCTTCTAGCCTCTCCTCCTAGTTGACCATGGTTATCCTGCCCAGAATTAGGAATGGAAATCAAGCCTCAGTTGTATAGCTGTCTTGCCTTATTGCTTTTCTGTGGCAAGATGTGTGCCTCTAGTCTCCCTTGCAATTGGCTCTGGGCCACACCTATGTGTGTTAATGGAGGGAGAGATTAGTCCAGAGAAACCTTGTGTTTTGCACTGTCAGGGTGGGGATGTTATGGGCTGTGAGTAGGTGGAAATCCTCAGGGTGCATTCCCCAGCTGTGAGCCTCTTCCTGAGTAGAGGCCCCATTCAATGCATCCCCTTTCATGTCTAATCTCCTGGCATGTGCCAGCTCTTTTGTTTGCTGGGTTCACATCCTGGCTCCTTTCCCTGTGAATTGTGTGTGTGTGTGTGTGTTTGTGTGTGTGTGTGTGCATGCGCACATGTACATATGTACGTATAGGGGATTACTTGTTTTTTTGGCTAAAAAGGAGGTAATCAAAGCCATCCTTGGGGGACTGGCCTGGAGGCCTTTCCCATCTGAAGGCCTGTTCTCCCTGAATGGGGCCAAACTTTTTAATATCCTGTCTGACTGGTTTACTCCGGACTATAACTTGAAGAAAAACATCGGCAGACATCCTACAGGAAAAGAGCTGTGGATGTGCAGCCAAATGCCTTAACCTTTTCGTGTCTGGGAGAGCAGCAAACACTTCACACATGTGCTGGCTATTCTTTTTTGTTATTGTTGCCCAGTGCACATGCAAGTCTGGTCCTGCCATTATGGTTTGACAGGATTCATGTGACTTCTTCCCTTGCAGCTTTTCAGCGCAGCAGTGCAACCTCCAAGTTACTCTGTCCCCAATTTTTTCTCTGCCCCCAACCTTAAGATCTTTTTCCCCCAGATTGTTAAGAAAAGCAAATAACCCTGTCATATTTGTGTCTGGAGTCAGGGCTATTTCTTCCATCAGGAGTCATGGGAATCAAGTCTTTTGAAATAAGCTGTGCCAGAGTGGAGGCTATATCAATAAACCTATTTATGTATGTGAGTGTCAGTAGGATTGATGCATTTCATGGAGCTAGAGGACAGCCTGCTGGAAGTTTAGAGGGTGGTCTCCATCTGAACCTAGATGTCATTGGATAGAATTTTCTTTAGAAGTGTCTATGTGGTGTTGATCTGTGGTGCAAACAGACTGTCTAGATAAGTTATATAACCACATAACAATTACATTACACTCTTATCTTTTGTGTTATCTTATGTACTACATTAGGGTTCTGCAAAATAACACAAAGACGTGAACATTAATAAAAATGGTAAACTATTAATTTTTAAACCAAATGTTTTGTTATATGGTAATAGAGTGATCCTACTTTTTAATCTTTTTTATGACAAAACACTTAAATAAAATAACTGAGGCTATGCCAACATTCAACATTCAATGGAAGATTGTAGTCCACCCTGATAGATGGAAGAAAAGACTAAAAATTACCTTGGAAGGGTAAACATTCAGAGGAAAAGGCCTTCACCCGTTATACCATAGAAGGTCTGCCAATGGATCTCAGCATGATAGCAGTATTGTAGGAAAATCAGCCATCCTCCAGATGGACTGGCCCCAACTTATTATGGTTATAAAAATGAAAAAAGGGTTTTTTTGAATTGGAAACAAACTGCAAACCAGTCCAAATTCAAAAATGTAGAGCAATATATTCTGTGTAACAGATCTCCAATGCCACCCAGGCAGCAGCATTTTACATTAGTTGTCTTTCCCAAATGTAATTAAAAAGCAGCCCTCACTATACTGATCCAACCTGGACATAGCCAAGATTTATATGACAAATTAGGCTGGCTTCTAACAAATTCAGGCTATCCTCCCTACAACCTTGAAGATTGAGTAAACAGAGAGATTGAATGTTGTATGGCCATCTAGCAAGCTTCCTAACCAATGGGAATCTAAATCCAGATCTCAGGCTAATGTCTTGAACACAAAGCAACATTAGCTTACCAGCCAAAGTAGAACAAAAATATTACAGCCCCTGTTTAACACTTGACAGGCATGGCCCAAGGCTGAGTTCTATTTCAATCAAATTGAAATATTAAAAAAGGACCTGCAACCCCAAAATAGGAGAAGTTTCCTTGCTGATAAATACCACCCTTTTATCTGGATTGACCCAACCACCCTTTCCTTCACTTCTTTAAGTGGCTCTTTCATTTTGCCTGCTGATGAGTTCTGCATAACTTGGAAGCTTTCATGCTTTTATGCTGATGGAATTTTGATGGATGGAATTCTTTCGTTGTCTACTTTTGAAGACTGGCCTGTCAGAATCCTGGTTCTCCATTCCCCATGTTACTTCTTTTCATTTTAGAAGCTGAGATAATAGCCACCTTCCCACTTCATTAACCATATCCCAGTTAAATGAAACCATTGTTAATTCTTATGCTATTTATCAATTTTTCTCTAGAAATTATTAATTAGGGGCTTTAAAAATCGTTTAAGCCTGCTTGCCATTAATCACTTCTATGTTTAATTAATATTAAATATCTCTTATGGCCCAACTTAAATTTTTCTCCCTTTCTTGTCCTTTGATGGGCAGATGATTCCCTATTTTGTACTGTATATTGCTTAATGGAAATTAACGTGAACAAGAAGATGAAATTAGTTATTGTTTTGCTGAAAGCACTCTGTGTGTGCTCTGGAACACTTCTTCTTTATTATGGTTTTATCATGCCTCACTCAAATCCAACCCTTTTTGCTTTCAATTCCAGGAAACCTAATTATTGCTGTGCTGCTTGCCTTCCTTTTCTCTCTGCTTCTCTCCTCCATCACCTTAAGCTGCAACACCAAGATTTAATGTACCTGGGATGTGTGGTTATGGCTGACTTAACTCCACATTTTATTTCCCTGGCCTGAAAATGTCAGATTGCATCTTGAAGAGATGCCATCCCTCCCTTGCAGAAAGCATGCTGGAGGCGGCTTTCAAAACTTCCAGGCCTTCAGGTTTACAGAGTTGGGGCTTTCCTTACTCACTGGGCTACTCACTGCATTCCTCTTCCCTTTTTCTTGTGAAGTATGTGCTATGTTAAAAGCTTCCTTGGGTTGCAAAATCAGTCTGGCCAAAATATAAGTTACTGGAAAGCATTCCCCAGCAGGACATACTGAGATGGTTCATTCTTAAATGATGTTGTTAAAACCACAAAGTGGTGCTCCCAAGAAGCTAGCTGGTATTTATACTGAGACTGTCTTTGATCAGCAACCTTCACAGGCTTTGCAGAACTTTCCCCTTCTCAATTTCCATGTTCCTTTCTGAAAATCCATAGTCAGTGCAAGGGGTCCACTTGAATTACAAAAACAGCAATCAGTTTGTTATTGTAGATAATTTTATACAAGTATCTTTCTCTTGTTATTCATGCCAATAGTCTTCAACAGAAATGTTGGAGTTTTTTTTAATCTAAAATGATGATATGGTAAGGTAGAGTAAGCATTTCTGCTATGCAAGCATTTTAAGAACATAAGCTCTTGCTAAGTCCTTCTCCATTTATGTCCATTTTGCAAGTGATCAGCATCGCATTCCACATCAATATCTCGGTACGTGTGAATGGGAAACCAAGATAGAACTCTGTGGACCAATCTTCCATCTTTTCCCCCCCTAGAACATATTAAGCCATATCCTTTTAACAGCATTATTTCATATCAAGCACTGGAAGATCAAGCAATGCCATGCACATTTGGCTCAAAAGTAGTGTAACTAAAGTGAATTGATTAAGTAACTCACATATAAGTTCCAGATAGATTTGAAACCTCACCAGTTCTTTATGTGATTTTTTTTCTCTCTTTTTCTGTAGCTATTGAAACACAAAGTACCAGCTCAGAAGAGATTGTACCCAGCCCTCCTTCACCACCCCCACTGCCCCGAATCTACAAACCCTGCTTTGTGTGTCAGGATAAGTCATCTGGCTACCACTATGGTGTTAGCGCCTGTGAAGGATGCAAGGTGAGAGTAAAAATAGATGGAAGGATATGTAAGCAGGAAAGCTAAAGAGAAAATGGGTCACTCAAATATACAGGTTCCAAAGAAGAAGTGTGGAATGCAGAATGCTAATGCAAGCACTGAGGTTTAGAAGAAGTCACAAATGTTAGAACACACTTTCTGGTATCAGCTATGACTAGTGTATTTTTCCTGGCCCAGGAAGTACCATTTTCTCTGTCTTTTCCAACTATTCCAGAGGGCTTCAAGAGTGTTTGTGGAAGTGTCCAGTCATCATCTGGCAACTGTCATCATGGGCTTTGCCCATGTCCTGTGACTTTAAGAATGTGGAGGAGCAGAACTGTGTTTTTTACAGAGCTGGGAAGATTTGAGAGTGATGCCAAGCTCTCAGTCCCTCTATTTCTCTAGGAAATGCTGGGTTTTGTGCTTCGTTGGCACTTTGATGCCCTTTGATATTTTGGGTTACAACGCCCATTGTCTATAACCATTTGCTTTATGGATTGCTTTTTGTAATAGAGGCTACTAGTTAATTATTTCTTCTCTATTCCATTCTTGATACTTTATCTATTATTTTTAAACATACTCCTCACTTCAATATCTAAGAAAGACAAACTGCTGTGACATTACCTGTTCAGGCATGTGCTCCCACTTGCACTAGGCCATCACCATGACTTTGTGTGAGTTAAGCTGTCAGAGATCAGATTGGGGAGGAAGGCATGGCCCAATCAGCTGATCTTTCCCTCCGTTAACAGAGAACTCTACATGCCTCTGACACAAAAGAAAGGGTTTTCTTCCTCTCCACCCCAAATCCCTTAATCTCATTAAGGAATTCATTCCCCTGGGTTCTTGAACAGTCTGGCTGCTTCTGTGGTTACCATCTCCTCCTCCTTCCTTTTCCATACCCATTGGCTTCTGCTTTAAGTGACCAGTCAGGTGCATCAACAGCCACCTTTTTATTAAAAATAAAAGCCATTTCTCTACTATTTTTTGGTTTCAAAATCAGATTAAAATTGTAAGCTTACTTTTAGAAATTGGTTTGAAATGGTTTGTACATGTGTGGGCTTTTGGTTTCAAACAAGGTATTATTAAGTTATTAAATAATTTAAAATAATAATTGTTAAAATAATTTTTCCATTTCTCCTCTTCCTTCTCTATTAGCTTTTCCTTGCTAAAAGCTTTAATCTCTTGCATTGTTTTGAGCATAAAATCTGTGTTCTCCAAGTTAAATGGGTTGTTTTTGCAGGTAACGTACAGTCCAAATTATGAAGCCATTCCAACCTTTTAAATAATAATAATAATAATAATAATAATAATAATAATAATAATAATAATTATTATTATTATTATTATTATTATTGTTATTATTATTATTATTACCAATTTAGTCTAAGGGCTAAGACATCACGCTATAACTAGGAAATCATGAGTTCTAGTCCCATTTTAGACACAAAGGCAGCTGGGTGAACTACTTCTGATATGCATGTATGTACCGGTATGTTTGTATGTATACACACACACACACACAGAGGGAGGGAGGGAGGGAGAGAGAGAGAGAAAGAAAGAGAGATTTAATGGGCAATGGAGGGCAATGGAGGGCAATGGAGCATCCATTAAAGCTATATATCTATAAGTGGCAAATGGCCTTTTATGTATATATATCCTGTATTTAAAATGTGCTTAAAAATTATAAAGATTTTCCAGGCTTATTCATTTGTTGTTGTTGTTACTGACTAAACTGCAGTTTTTCTCCACTGAATTGAAGATTGAGGATTAATGACATTCCTTTTTAAATTCCACAATTTTTGGGAAGACAGAACAGAAGACTAAATTGATTCTCAGCACACCATATGCAGAAAGATTTCAGTCTGTAAGAAGGTAGCCTTGTGTATGAGAGAGAAAATCTTACATAATATGCACACTCAGCCATTACTATTTTTCTAAATTATCTCTCTATAATTTTAATTCCAGTTAATTCTGTAACAGATCTAAGATGGGTCAGGAGTTATGACTATTATTCTAGAATGTTAAGGTGGAAGAGAATAAGGCATGTCTGCTACTGACTTTTTAGTATTTATTTTCATCTGCAATATGAGATAAAGGTATTAACCTATTTTATTATAAGGATTATTGAGAAAAAATACATGCACTATACTATCTGGACAGTGAAAATGCTATGGGCCCAGAATGTAATATAACTTTGCCATCTTGTTGAATCTAAGCAGGTTTTGGATGACAGATAATACAAAGATCTCATATTACTGTATTTGCATTGTATTTGTATTAATGGTTGTTTTTTCACAAATCAAAGCAAATATACAATTGTTTGTTTTTATCCTGGCTACTTATTGACTGTTTATTTTGTATTTTTATTGTTGATTTTTTGCTGCATATTTTTTTTACTCCTGATAGCCACCTAGGGTCAGTTTGAGATGGGAGACCATATAACTTGAATGAATGAATTGACAAATATTATGCTGTCTTGAATACATTGACGAACATGATAGATAATTTAATGTGCTACGTGCCATTATTGATTTCTGACCCCATTTTAATACCTAAAATCTCAAAACATTATACCCAATTTTTGAAATGGTTGAATTGCAACATTTTTAATATTATTAGCTAAATCTGCCCAGAAATGTTAGTAGCAAATGACATAATTGTCTAAAGACTAGCATGAAAGTTATGGTTAATTCTGAATTGGAGACATTGTGATTTTTGTTAATGCTACACCTGCTCTCAGGGAGTAAGGATACTACGAGAAGAGGCCAAGCCATGTTTTCATACCATGGGAGAGAGAGAGAGAGTTGATTTGCTCATGCAATTTTTTTTCTTCTCTGAACTCTACAGGGCTTTTTCCGTCGTAGTATCCAGAAGAACATGGTATATACCTGTCACCGGGACAAGAACTGTATCATCAACAAAGTGACCCGGAACCGCTGTCAGTACTGCCGCCTACAGAAGTGCTTTGAAGTTGGCATGTCCAAAGAATGTGAGTGAGTGGTGAAGAGAAGAAAGATGGGGTGGCCAAGTTGTTGGCCATTAATATTTTGTTATAATAGCAAATTTCAAATGTCTATCCATATGAAGACCAAGACTTAAATCTCAGTTATCCATTAGAAGCCATTGTTTGCTAAGGCATTTTCAAATTATAATTCAAATCAAAATACTGTATAAAACCCCTAGCTATATAGAATTCTGAAGATGAGAATGACAACGGTCCTAGAAGGAAAGAAGGCAAAGAACGGACAGAAAGGGAGAAGTTGAAGTTGAAAACAAAGATGAGACAACTGCTGATTCTATAGTATATATAGAGAAAAAATTAAGATGAGAGAGGCAAGTCATCTAACTACGAAAAAACAGATTTCTTGTTATCATTTATTATGGAGATAATGATTACTCAATTTGCAGTCTTACAACAAAAATTAATCCCATCTGATACTATCTGCAGGAGCTAGATTCCAATTCTCATAATTCCCAACTAGCAATTCCACATTAAGGGAATGGTCCCAGTAAAGCCAGCGAGCATTAGCTAGGAAAAAAACTGATTTGCCGGTTCTAATTTTTTTTAAACAAGATTGTATGTTAGGTAGAAGAAATGGATGACTCTTTCCTCCTGTGACTAGTTCTTAACTGAGCTACTCTTCAGAAAGTTGGCATTAGCATATTTTGTCAAATAGCATTCTCTTTCCACTTAAAAGAAGAAGAAACCTGGGAATTTTTCTAGTTTTTCCCCAAAGGCCTGGTGCAGGGGACTTACCCCTCTGCTTTGTTCTAATTTTGAGGGTGTTTCCCCGGCAACCATGATTGATGATGTCAGAGATAAATGACGCAGACAGGACCCTCCTGGCATCTGCAGTGCTTAGTTGTCATGGCTCCCGACTGTAATGGGGCGGGGGACGGAACCCCAGTTTGCCAGGGTTGGACTGATAAATCCATGGAATGAAAAGAAATGTCTCAGATGTGTAGAGAATCAATGGTTAATTTGGGGCATCCCAAATCCTATTGTCTCTTTTTCCCTGTTCATTCAAAAGTGAGGAGAAGAGGATGATGGAAAAGGGAATGTGGGCAGACTGTATTCTTTGTGAGTTTGTGTTCTTTTTGGCTTGCTAACAATATAGAACTGTATATTTCAAAGAACTAGGTCTGTCTGTCACAGAGGGTAGAAAAAGTGGGGGTGAGAAATTGGTTTTGTTCCCCAGATTTTAACAAATAGGGCATGCTACCTGCTGATGAAGCATGTGGCAACAGGGAGACTAAGGAGTCCATTATAAGCAAGGACTTTCTGAGGTCTCAGTGAGAAAATGGAAACATCCATCTAGGATAGAGAGCTCCACCTTTCTCCTAGGCATTGTGGGGAGAAAGGAGAAATTTCTGGTAAGCAAAAATATGGTGTGGTAGAGAGAGGCCAGGAATTGAAAATGTGGACCACTTTAACCGAGACTGCTGCTTTTTAAGATGTGCCGTGTGCACACGCGCGCGCGCACACACACACACACAGCACAATGTGCTTTTGAATCCTCCCTTACTCATTTCTCTTGGTGTTCTTCACTTTTTCTCATGACAGCTGCTTTTGCTTACCCCACACCCTCTATGTGATGATGGATGCACCATTCCTCCCTCCCCCTTCCTAACTGGCTGTCTGGTCTGCGCTTTATTGAATTTGCCAGGCAGACATGACTGATTTCCGAATTATCCCCCCCCCCCGCCCCCTCCTCCATCAGGCAGGACGGTGATATGTACCAGCATACCCCAAGCAAAAGACACATCTGGCATTCCCTCACCAGTTGTATTAATTTAAAGGAAGATTCTTTTTCCTAGAAAGTAAGAGTCAAGAAACCTTGCAGTTTGAAAAGATTGTTTTGCTTCCTCCAGCAGGATATTCTCATATGGATTCTTTATAAAAATACATCACACAGAAAATGACAACAACAAACAAGGTTTTGTAATGCTTCCATAAATCCAGCATGCAAAAAAGTAGTGCCTCAATTCTGATACACCTGCTTATTGCTTTTTGCAGCCAACAGAACTTAGTTTTGTTTTCTGTAGATTAATTTCCATTATTTTAGGAGCTGCTGTTTGAATTTCTTTTGTCTATTGGAACTTGAAGCTTCACTTATTTTAAAGTTTTTAGGAGGTTAATTGTTTTAAGTTAAAATCTAGAATAACATCTAATTAATAATTAGTCAAGAGAAGTAAAATTCCGTTAACTTAGGTTAGCTCATTCTTACACATCAATTAACAACTCACATTGAAAATGGTCTAAGAATGTTCTTGTTAGGTTAGTGAACAATAGTAGGTAGGTAGTAAAATGGCAGGCTGAAATAGGCCTTAGGAAGCACTAATAGAGAGAAAGAAGAAGATGAGGAATGAGTGGAGCATAGAGCAAGGCAGAGATCATGAGAGCAGGCCAGCCTAGGTTGGAAGGGTTTTTGCCCCATTTTTTTTTCCTAATTAAGATAGTTCCCTTGATTCAAAGATGTTTGTATGTATGTATGCATGTATGTATGTTTGTTTGTTTGTTTGTTTGTTGGTGAGTTATCAGGTGACTATAATGGACTGAAAGTAATTGCTTCTTTCTGACAGTCAGAAACTTTATTTTGATCATTGAGCAAAAAAAGTACATTCAATAAAACAAACACAACTTCCCCCACAACAAGAACAATTAGCAGCCATTTGTGGGCCACGTTTACACATAATATAGCAATATTTTGCTATTTTTAGAGAGATAAATTTATTGTGATTATTTAACAGATAAAAGTTATCAGATTGCCCCATAAATTTAAATTAAAGAGGGGTAATCAGTTAGTGGTGAATGTCCCTGTAGATCTGACAATACAGAAGGAAGGAACTGTAGTTTCTTTTCTATGGTACCCATATTACAGGGGCAATATTGGGTTTCATACGGGATTTTCTAGATTTCCCTTCTAGGACAGCTGTGCGGAGAGCATTCAATCAAGCTAAAGATCTCTTTAGTTTGTATAAATTGGTAGAAATACTTCCTCAGTCCTTTGGTTACTGTGTGCTTTGATTGCTGTAGTATGTGGGGAAGACCTTGGAAGAAGGTTTGACAGCGGCTGCTTTTAATCTTGAGTGCTGAGTCGTGCCTCCTGGCATGGACAATGGATAGCAAATTCATAATCATAACCCAACTGCATTGGGTATTGAACTGCTTCTAGGCTGAATTCTGGAGCCTGTGCACTTTGGGAAGACCTCTTCCATTTATTCTTCCTGGGTCCCTTTGATCTCCTCTGTAGAATGGGGCTATTAACTGTGATGAGAAGCATATCTGATAGTGCTCACATTCTGGAATACCTGTATCTAGTGAAGGCATATCAAAGTCTTATTTGGCATTTCAATGTCTTCTTAAAATTTCTGCGTTCTTTAGAATGCTTTTAATGATGTTTCCTGACTTTTATGTTAATAGTTTAGATTGTTATTAAATTTATATATTTTAGTTTTTTTCATTGATAATTGTTATTCTTCAAATGCTGCTTTGGCAATTTGGAATTGAATTGTTGTTGTTAGTTGTGAAGTCGTGTCCGACCCATCGCGACCCTATGGACAACATTCCTCCAGGCCTTCCTGTCCTCTACCATCTTCTGGAGTCCATTTAAGTGGAATTGAATAAGTAATCAGAATAATTCAAAAATGTTGTAGGAATAAAGAATCTCTCAGAACTAGATAGGATTACATTTATCTTTGAGATTTCTTTTTTTATTGCCTGGGCTTTAGTTTGAGCATATTTGTGCACATACAATAATAATAATAAAGTTGGAAATGACCTTGGAGGTCATCGAGTCCAACCCCCTGCTCAGGCAGGAAACCCTATACCATTTCGGACTAATGGCTGTCCAGTCTCTTCTTAAAAACTTCCAGTGTTGGAGCATTCACCGCTTCTGGAGGCAGGTTGTTCCATTGGTTAATTGTTCTAACTGTCAGGAGGTTTCTCCTTAGTTCTAGGTTGCTTCTCTCCTTGATCAGTTTCCATCCATTGCTTCTTGTCCTGCCTTCAGGCACCTTGGAGAATAACTTGACTCCCTCTTCTTTGTGGCAGCCCCTGAGATATTGGAACACTGCTATCATGTCCCCCCTCGTCCTTCTCTTCGTTAAACTAGACATACCCAATTCCAGCAACCGTTCCTTATATGTTTTAGCCTCCAGTCCCCTAATCACCTTTGTTGCTCTTCTCTGTACTCTTTCTAGAGTCTCAGCATCTTTTTTACATCGTGGTGACCAAAACTGGATGCAGTATTCCAAGTGTGGCCTTACTAAGGCATTGTAAAGTGGTATTAATACTTCACGTGATCTTGATTCTATCCCTCTGTTAATGCAGCCCAGCACTGTGTTGGCTTTTTTGGCAGCTGCAGCACAC